GGAGTAAGATGGCGAATACACAGGCGTGCCCATGTGACTCAAAATGTTGTTTGCATGACAGCTTGAAGGTATCTTAACTACACATGACCTTGAGTGCGCAGAAGTTGAAAATGCGTTGTGATCATAAGTCGGACGTTGCAGCTGTGCGCGCAAAGCTGGTGGCCGTGTCCAAACTTATACCAGTTTACCTATATTAGCCTGATTTGTGCCAACCACAGAAAGACTTATAACGTTGTGTGGGGAGGTTACGTCAATCCAGTTGTCTTCAGTGTCGTGTTTTAGTTGTATTTATATAAACTACTTATCTGCCTTGACATGCTCCCGTAGAAGATATTTTTTTCATGAGTGGTCTATATTATCTCTTCGCTGTTTTCCTCTTTTCATGCTACGAACGAGATATCTCGTTCAGAAACACCGAATTCTTGCGCCCTGAATTCTTGTTGTCCTTTGTTCCCTACTAAGTATGCTCTGTATGATTGGGTACTTTCACCTCCATTTTGATTGGACAGATTCCGCTGTATAGGGTACGGTGGTGACATTTCGACAATTTTTTACTGTGAGGATTCTCAGGATTAAAAAATACAATTTTTAAAACATGTTTATGATATAATATGAAGTATTACACACAGGAATGTTATGTCAAAGTTTTCCAGAAAGCAAAAATGTGTTCGACAAAGACTTTTAAATATAAAAATATTGATCGAAATTTTACCGCAAATGGTACACGTTTTCCTCACGAAAAGGCATTTTTTTCCCGAAAGCACCAACACCCAATTCATTGTATCAAGTTGGTAACAAATCCAGCCACAATTCTCGATTGATATCTCGAACAAAATTCACAAATTATTTCATTATTTCTTGATTGGCAACACTTTCTTCATAACCTTAGACAGAAGTTGGGTAAGTTGTCTATGTTGTGGTTTTTTTCTGAGCCGATGTCCTACTCGAAATCTTTGTCTGAGAGGTAACGTCATTACTTTGAGCAACAGTTGAAACAGAACTCGGAGCACGTCGTAGTACCTTTTGTCAGGAACGACATCTTTTTGTAAGGGCAAATGAACACACTAGACCTTCAACAGCTCCTCCCACACTCGCTGTTTCGTTGTACGCTTCTGCAAAGAGTGAGGAAATCCGATCTTCGCTGACAGCTTCGGTTGGATTTTTGTGCAACAGTTTCCACAAGATTCTTTTCGACTGTTTGGCGACCGAAGGCCTTTGGTCATCATTATTCAACAACTTCATTTTCTTTGCGTACATTGTGTTATATCGATTGAGATATAATAATGTTAATGAGAAAGGAGTAGTGGCATATTATAAGGTACTGTTGATACCTTAATAGGATAGCAGATATCTCGTCTTGGGTTCGAATCCGGGAATCCCCTAAATGCGAAGCAGGAGTGGTGATCACAGTATCACTAATTCTGTGGGTTCATTTGTTACCATTGAAGCAGATGTGTTGGTACCAGGTGGCGTGTCTAAGTTGAAGTATTACAGTCTTCGTCTCCTAAACTTCGTATTTGTTCTGTCTTTTGTTTGGTATAATTTTGAGTCTTACGAAGGAGCCGTGTGCATTATTTAGAATTCTCTTTCACAGAGTTGAACTTCTCCGTCTGTTTCTCTGATGTAGTTGCGAACGATGATTCACTAATTGACTGATTTTCGTGAATCTATGTGTGATCAGTAGGCTATAGGAATTAATTTTTATAAACAATGCCAGTATGGCGAAAGCTTATGAGATCGGAGCGAATGTATCGCGAATGGGAACGGAACCCTGGAGATTTTTATTGTGGTGTACTTGAAGAGTATCCGATATAAAATGTTTGTTGTGGGGTTATTTACGAAAATAGCGAAATTCGCTTCAATACTGATAAATATTAATAGTTGTAACATTTGTGAAGTTCGTCTCGTGAACGGAAGGTTGCCGCTTCGAATCTCAGTCTATTCATCAAGTACTAGTAGGTACAGTCTAACAGACTACCTATCCTAACGATATTTTCCTACGTGCATATAAATTATATAACTTATAGACCATAATTAATTCGTACCAAATCTCTTCTGACTCAATTTTTTGAATGACTAACCTTGTCAACAGCTTAACCTATACAGTCGATGTGAGCAGGTCGTTAACAATTAATCGATTTCTGCATTATTTGTATTTGTGTAATCGAACTCTCGAAATTTCACTACCAAGTAGTCTGTTAGTTGTTATGCCTTTGCAATAGATGGCACTGACGATATTGTTCCTAGAACTCTGGTGTTTGTTTTTGAAAATGGCTGGGCTCCAAGCGTCCGGTCGGCTGAATGTATATAGACGTTTGCGACGAAGCAGCGATGACAGACAGACAGACGGTAAAACTGGCAGCGTTCCTCAAACACCGTTGTAAAAAAACAGCGTTTCACGAACAGGCGTTTAATACATACACACGCAGGCCTAATCACGTCCAAATCTGCCCTGACAATTACCCGCCTTCTATCCAATGGGGCCAGGAAGCTTTTTACCCGGACGGTTCCTGAAGACTTAAGATCACGTGAGCTTCACTTTCATTTCTCTGTACGTCTTTATGGTGTGTTGCTATAAAACATTTATCGATGTTTGTCTTCTGGGTTGTTAAGGTATGGTGACGTGTAGGTGAAAATCCGACGAGCGTTCACTGCACTCACTCACTCACAGGCTGGCCAGCGACTGGCGCTCTCTGCGGGCGGGAAAAAATTCACGCATGCGCATGAAGCCCCCCCCCAACCCCCACCGGAGGACACCTTCCGTGCTTCATTTGTTTCAGTGGGAAAAATTAAGATCCAATACATTTTGAACAGACCTCGTACATGAAGACTTTGTATCTACGTACAAACCTTCTCTCAGTTCTACCGAAAGTTCCCAGCGCGAGAAAAGCAACAGGCAGCTTACACAGTGTCATCCATCCCCCTGTGCCCATTTGACTATTGCTGTCTCGGGTACCGTTAGTTGTCATGGCATGTAAACTCTCAGATCTGCGAGGCTGTACTAAATATTCGAGTTTTATCGCATTGTTTACGATACAAATACGTGAATTTGCGCAGACAAGAACAAAACGTGACGTGAAGGTTGGTTTCTTATTTTATAACGTTATATGAACTGATGAGGTTTTTAACGCAGATTTAGATCGGGAAAGGATTGTATACGGTGAACTGAAAAAATGGGTTTGTAGCGGTGGTCTACTTTAGTACGCCGGTACTATAGACATTCGGTTGGACTCCTTGGACGAGGGATCGGCCCGTCGCAAGGCCCCTACCTGAACACAGGACACGCGGACAAACACCCATGGCTTGAGAGGGATTCGAACCCATGGTCCCAGTGACCAAACGGCACAAGACCCGTTCAGTACTAAGTAATAATAAAGTTACTTGACAAAATACGGAACATCTACAAATTTTTATTGATTGGTCGACACTCTAGCAGTAGTCTGTAACGTTGTCTTATACACGTATTATTTTATGACTAAAACTTTACATTTTAAGATATAAAATGGTTCTAGTAATTTAAATGTATACTTCTATATCTGAATATTTTTATTTACAAAATCATTTTATTAATTAGAAATTATAATATTATAATTATGATAATATTAATAGATAATATGCAAACAAAAAATATACTTCGTGGGTCACTGGTGATCTGTTGAAGATGGAAACGCATTTTTAAGCGATCAAGTCTTTCGAAGATTTTGTCATAACATCGCAATGAAATTCGTTTGGTTTCACGTGTTACAGTCGAGGACATTTGGACTCAGAGTAAAAAATATATAAGCATTTTCACGTTTTTAACTCGTTCGTTTCTCCTGTTTTATGCAGCTTCGAAGACAAATTAAAGTAAGCATTCAGGAATTTAAAATCTAAGGACCGTAACGGAGTGAACGTTAATTTCTACGCAGTGCATGTGTTTCCTGACTTGTTAACTTTCCCCTGGCATTCGTTACGAAGAAATGAGAAGGGCCACGAAGTGTCTCGGGACAGTCATCGTATTGAATTTGACCGAGGACACCATAAATAGGTCAATCAGTACAGTGACTGGGCAGGGCGATCTGGGTTCGATTCCCATCCGAGGCAGAGGATTCTTTTTTCCAGCCTTTGCGTCCATATTGGGGATCTGAGGCCCACCCAGCCTCCTGTCCAATGGGTACCGGGGTCCTTTCCCGGGGGTAAAGCCGGCCGGTCCGTGCTGCTGACCGAGGTCAAGAAATAGTAGGAACTACACCTCCTACCTCCTAAATGCCAACGATGACATGTAACGGGGGTGGCTTTAATTTTACGCCAGAAATGTTTGGTTAAACGTATCACAGGAATGGCTTCCCGCTCGATTCGACGTAAAGGATTCATGGGTGGTACAGAAGCCCTCTGGTTTATAAAAGAGCTTCCAAGGTTACAAAATTTTACCGATTTTTATAAGCCAATAGGCTTAATTTATTTATAATCTAAATCAGACCTTGTTTTAAGTATCTTGTGATCTTTTCCAATAACTTTCCTTGCATAAATGAACGTTGCAGTCAAGTTGTTACTTTTGTGTCGTATTCGGGAGGTCCGAGGCTTTAATCTGGGTCCGAAGATCCGGCTGTCTTGAGGGTTTTCCTGGTCCCTTCAGGCAATTGCCGCGATAGTTATTGAAATTAGGCACTTATCGCTTACTTGAATGTCCTTTACAATTAATTCATTTTAAATCATCCTATGATTCGACGCTGATAATCTGAACATAAATAAATTCATTGTATAATATGTCTAAAGTTGAATCGCCTTCGAACTCTACTTCTGTCCAATGTCAGTGCACTGTTTTTCTCTGCATTTCTTTGGTTAATGATACAGCTCGTACACAGCTTCAGAAAAATTTGGTTAATGATACAGCTCGTACCCAGCTTCAGAAAACTTTATTTATTTTTTTGTAAAAGTCCGACCGATTTCAGTTGGGAGTGATAACACGTGTGCAGCAGGCTTACTAATATGTGCCAATTCCACCCAGATGTGCAACTAATCAGGTATTGTGTCGTGTGCGACTGACATTAACAGTATTTTTATAGTTCCCATTAATACTGAGAAATGTAACTTTAAAACAGAAATACTCTTTGTTTTCTCCTCCCTGTGTTCGTCCTTCTTGTCACTCAACTTCAGGACAGCGTCGCCGTCGAAGACAACAGAGCACACCTCAGTCTCAGCTGCCTGAAGACACGATCACAGACACACGTAAGGCAAGCAAGGTATCGCGCAGTGTGACGTCATCAGAAGGTACTGGTAGCAAGTCGCGCAGGCGCAGAAGATCTAGAGGAAACAGCAGACGGAAGTGTCGCGCGGGGAACGCTCTCGTTGTCGAAAGTGACGTTTCAGGAACGGAACAGAAGGCGGAAGAACTAGATAAGGAGATGTCCACGACGGAACCTGAAACGGACGCAACGATGTCAGATATTGGCGGGAAAGCTGAAGGTGATAACGCTCACAGAGGCGAAACATCTGAGGTTGAAACAGAGGATGTTGTCACTGAAAAGCTACTAATCACGGAAGAAGTTTCGTCCGTTCATATTAAGGAGAGTGTCCGTGAAATTGTTCATGAAAACAGATTGTCAGCAGGAGGTTCGTCTTCAGAAGTTGGTGACAATGCAAATGACGCGTCACTTGCTATTGGGAAGGGAAGTGTACTGGAAGGTACTCGAAAGGAAGACGTATCAAGAGCTATTTTGAACTGTAACAAAGGCGAGAAAGCTGTACCACTTGTAGATGTAAAGTCGACTTGCAGATTAGGAATAAAAAAGGAACAATTTTCTTTTGAAGGTAAACTATCTGATGAGATTAGAAACACACGAACCGGAAATGTACAGGTGTCTGAAAGACGTACTATTTTGAGAGGTAATGTTGAACAGGAAATGACCGAAATTGATATTAGATTGAAGAAAAGTTTACAAGTCCAGGAAATTGATCAGGGAAAGAAATCGAATGTAGACGTTGGCTCAGAAGCTTCAAACACTGGAAATGTGATAGACGTTCATCACCAGAAGGATGTTACGGAAGTTGACATATCGATTATTGGTCGAGGAGAAAACGAAAATAAAATAAATGAAGATGAGGATAAATGTGAAAAGTCAGAAATTTCTTCATGTATGGCAGCCTGTGAAAATGTTTTGTTGTCAGATGGCAAACATGTACGGGGAAGTAGTGCGGACAGGACTGAGTTTTTGATTGAGGATGGAAAACGGAACTGTTGCCGCGAAACAGCGGAATACTCTTTGAAATCGGGAGTGCCGAGTTCAGAATTAAAAGACCGGAGATATGTCACTGTAGTGAAAGCTGTGGACATCTCAGACATGAAGACTGACCATAGTAATGTTGCTGAAGAGCAGAATAGTATAACTGGTGATAAAATAGAAGATTCGAATTTTTACAGCAAAGCAATAGAATGTAATGTATCACTTTCCGATAATGACATTATAAACTTACAGTGTGCAAAAGAATTCGGTTTATCCGATGAATGCCCCAATAGTCGACGTTCTCCTGCTGATTCAGTGACAGTGGAAGAACTTATATCACCCGGCAATCATCAGGACGTTGAGGAAATCACAGATGGTGTAAACTTTCGCGGAACTGTTTCGGACGTTTTGATGAAGACGACAGGTGGAATTGGAAAGAACTCTTGTAATTCCGAAATTTATGGTCATGAACAAGGTGAATTTTCATCGGAAAGTTCAGTTTCCGAAGATTCTAATTATGTGAGAAAACATGTCGAATGCAGTGATGTGACTGAAGTATGTAGCACAAAGGCAGATGCGAGTCGAGATGATGATGTAGCAGGGTCTTCTGCGTCGGGCGGCGTCAGGACAACAGGAAGCAATTCACAGCCGACGCTATGCGCTGATGCGATGTAGCAGGGCCTTTTGCGTCGGGCGACGTCAGGACATCAGGAAGAAATTCACAGCCGACGCTATGCGCTGATGTGAACGGTGACGCAGAAGTCACACTTTCAGTTAAAAGCGACATTGCCTCCGTAGATGAGAGTGTAGTTCGGGTTTCAGAAGTCTCTGCAGAGATAACGGATCGCAGGCCTTTGCCTCAACAGAAAAAAACATGTCTCATTTCAGAACAGTCCTCGCCGGAGTGCAAGGCTGTTGTGTTGGAAGCAGTGGGAGACGAGGTGTGGGAAGAAGTGGTAGAACTGCCCTCCACAGGAACATTTCGCGAGGATGATAGACTTTCGGAAGGCGTAGTGCCGGGTGGAGATGAAAGACGTCGCCTCATGACGAATAGTCCTGTCTTAGTACAAAATACAAAACTGTCTCAGGAAGATAAGGAACTGTTGGATCCACGTCCTCTGGTTGATGCAGAGGATGAGGAAACCCTGAGGCGTTTCATCCACAGCCTCAATCTGGCGGATTACAGTAAAGAAGCAGTTCGAGCTAGAAGTGTCATTTTGAAAGATGGTAGCACGATAGAAGAGATGTACGCGGCAAGAAGGGGAAGGCGACGAGCGCCTTTGGAGTCTTACTGCAGTCTGCAGAGGGGACTGGATGTGATCCTAGAAGAGAATAGCAGTGACTACAGTGACGGCGAGAAGCTGGTGGAAGGGGCAAGGTGGTGGTATGGGCAATGGGGAAAGTGTCTGTCGTGTTTACCAGAGGATAGAAAACGAATCGAGGCGTGTGACAACGCGAATTATTTCCGAAGAGGTTAGTATCGATGTTTTCTCTGAAGAGATGGAACAAACTTTGGAAAATGTTGGTGAAACACAGGAGTACGATAGTGAAGACGACGACGACGGGGAGGGAACGGGCAAGGTAGTTTGTGGGGGAGGTACGGGGGTAACGGTTGAACTGGCGGAAAGCAGTGACGATGAGGACGTGAAGGGTACGTGGAAGAGGGGAAGGACACAAGAAATGCAGGACGCTGTCGAGATCGTTTACCTTGAAGAGGACAGTGGCAGTACCAGTAGCAGCAGTTGCAAAGCGACGAAGCAAAACGAAGGAGAGGCTGCAGACGATGCTGACGCCGAGGAGGAAGACCCTGATGTGTTGTACGAGGGGGTTGAGTTTCCCGTTGTTGGGGCAGGAAATACCGTAGACGTAACGGGTGGTGACAAAGGAAACTCTTCGAAGACCAGTATAGGAAGCGCTGTGTACGAAAATGTGGAATTTCATAGAAACACAGAGGCAGTGTTGACAACTGAACAAAGGAATTCGGACATTCCTGTTAATTTAGAAGAATCAGCAAACTGTGTAAATGAATTTTCATCAGATATTTATGAAGACGTCGAATTTGTCAATTTAATGAGTTTACCACGTAATCCCAACGTAATTCCTTACAGCGACTCCGGACATTATGACAGCACGCATGCGTGTGTATTAAACGACGATCCGAATAGAGTTACGGAACAGATCACAGAGGGTGATGAAATAGTTGACAGCGGAAGAGAACGGGACAAGGAAGATGAGGCAAAGTCTTCTGGGCAGAGCATGCCCGAAATTGAATCTAGTTCAGAATTAGAAAGCAGAGCGCAAGTAGACGACGACGGAAACATTAAGGAGGTCCTTAGTGATGTACGGTGTCACGAAAGTAAGTCCTTTGTAGAAACTGATCATCAGTCTATAGAACAACGAAAAGTAGGAAAAGTTGCTTCTGAAACCGTTATTGTTGATAATCCACAAATAAATTCCAATTCTAAAACAGTCGATATTGTTAAACGAATTTTATGCCTATTACCCCAAAGAGAAAGCATAGATAATGGAGAATTAAAGTCTATTATATCGCAGTTGACTTCAGAGAGTACTGAGACTAAGTCGTTAAAAGAAAGTGTGGCAGGAAGATCAGAAGCAGACGGTATTGAAAAAGATACTCGTCTTCAAAGGGAAATTAATAAGAAATCTCCCCAGATTCCGCCTCACATAGAGGCAGACGCTACATTGTCTATTAGCAATATATATTGTCAAGAACTGGGATGTAATCCAAATACAAGAAAAGAACAAAGCGATTTAGGCTCGAAGTCGCCTCGCATGTCACCAGAAACTATCACAGGGCACGGAAGTGAAGCGGTTCATGACAAACGCTCACGTGAAACAAATTATGAATCTTTCCGAACTCCGTGCCAAATCGATTCACGCATTAGAATGTTGAATGAAGGTACACAGTTTGGACACTCCGAAAATAGTGTACATCCTGAAGCTCTTCAGTACAATCCGGCTTTAAAATCGGCAAGTACCGCGCAGAAGGAGAGCATCGAACAAGAGAGGTCGAATAATGTTTTTGGGGAATACGAAGGCCTAAGAGATGATGACGATGGTGTCGATGACCTCTACTCGATTACTCCAACAAATCGATCTCGTCCTGGGTCTTCGAGTAGTGACGCAGGGTCCCACGGGACAGCTGTCTATTGCCCCGGGAGATTTTCACCTCAGTCTTCAGACGCAGATATTTCGTCTTACGCTGAGGATACCGTAGCTGAAAACAAGCCAGTGCGTAATAAAATATATTCTCCTCTGAACATTCGAAACAGAACACCTAAAAATCACAGTCACGAAAATGTTTCAGAGTCCAAGAAAAATATTTCCCCGACATTTAGAACTGAGACAGAAATTAATAGCAAGATGTCTGTGTCTCCAAAGACTCTAAAAGACCTTTCTGTTGCCAAGGTAATGTCCCTGCCGCGTGGGGTTCATTTACTTAATGTACTGGGAATCCGTGTTCTTTTGAGAAGTCCTGAGAAAAACTATGACAATAACAAATGTGTGAACGTCGACATGCAATATTGTACTCCACCGGTCTCCGTCGCGTTTAGAGCCAAGGACAAACCCCTTTTGTCTGGCTCCTTGCCAGATATCTCATCCGTGCAACAGGAGACGACGTTAAGAGACCAGTCAGTGAAATCCCCTCTCCCACCTGTTATTTTATCCCCTTCTCCAGCAAAGAACGACTGGTTAGGAATGCCTACTAAGGAAGACCCAAATTTGATGGTCTGTCTGTCACCCTCACAACGACGAAGTTATCAAGGTGAAGTACCGACACCGGAAGAAGCCGGATATCTTTTGGATTTACACCGCAAGTTTATCCAAAGGCGTGGATATCATGAGAATCCTCATCCACC